GGAAGGAAGGAAGGAAGGAAGGAAGGAAGGAAGGAAGGAAGGAAGGAAGGAAGGAAAGGAGACGAACCTAATTCTGTAGAATTCAGAATTGTTTTTAAAAATCCTAAAGTTTAAGATGAATATGTATAACTGGAAAAAATGTCTTAAAACATACTGGGTATTAAGGCTGCCATTAAACCTAATCAAATTATAACCAAATATAATTTGGTGGACACATTTCACCCATTAGATTTCTTTTCAGTACCATAACAATATGAATATTCATTTCACCCTTCAAAATATAGATGCACTACCTAGACCTAGCTTTGTAATTAATTTATGTACTTTGGCAAATCAGGAAACAAAATAGAACACCCAGGAAACCATCCTTCTGCTTACTGGAGACTCCATACCCATAACACATATGGCTTTAGCTGCAAATAATCATGTACAAAGTCCAAGAATTATCAGGTCATCTTTGGATATGGCTATGGCTTCTCTTGCCATGGACATGATTTGACTGAAGATTTACAGAGAAACTCAGGTTTGTCCTGGGTGATCTAAAAACAGACTACTTTCAACTTTTGATTCAGTACTAAATTGCTTTTACATATTACTGATGGAGAAACTCTACCTCAATCTTTTCCCCTTGACTTTATAGTTTCTCATCTATTCTTTTTTCATATTCTATGATGACATGTTCCACCTTGACCCTGAGCAGCTCATGTTCTGTTGTAACTTTAATGAGTGCTTTGCTCCATTGAACATTATGAAGGCAGGCATTTCATGGCAGGGTTGAATGCCGTTAGAAAAAGGAAAATGTTATTTTAATCTTGCTTGTCCAAAGAATCATACTTCACTTGAATGTAATTAGGGAAACCTTGAGCCTCTTTCATTTGCTCCATTAAATTTTATACTTTCTTTATAGCTTTGGGGAGCAAAGGGTTCATTAAGCCATAAGTTAAGGGCAGCTCACTATCAAACTATTCTTGAACAAAAGTTCAGTATAGTATGATCTGGAATTCCTTGAAAGCTGCTATCTGCCCATGGCTACTGTTATATAACTTTCCAATTTTTGTGCCCAAGGCCTTGCTATAAAAGCTTTCAAAGATTTGATTCATTGGGCTGAAGACCCATCCCTTTTTGGTTATGCAAAATGATACCATACTGCATTTGAAAGAAGTTCAGGAGGAAAACAATACCTAAGCTGCTGATGAATTTGGAGGCCTTCCTATGTAAAAGAGAATAATCAGAGCCCAATTAGCACTCTCAGGGAGATTCATTCATTCATTCATTCATTCATTCATTCATTCATTCATTCATTCATTCGATTTATATAGCCGCCCATCTCAGACCAGTGATTCTGGGTGGCTGACAACAATAAAAACAGTCAACATTTAAAACAGTACTAAAAATTAAATATAAATATAAATACAGCCAAGAGATTTTTCAGAACTGTCGGTACCAGCACAGGCCTGGGCATAAAGCTAGGTCTTCAAGGGCTTCCAAGGTATAATTTATCAGACTGCAATGTAGGTGTTCTGCCTTGTATTCATCAATTCTGAACTGGGAACTCAAAGCTTCTCCCACTTGATTCATCTTTTCATCTGTCCTTCCTTTGCTGCCTCCTAAAATCAGCAGGTTTTAGGTACATAGTGCAGAATCTGTGGAAGAAATCATTATGACAAAGGGAAGAATGAATGGGACACCATAGCTATTCCATCTTCTGGTTTAGTATTAAGTAAAGCTTCATGAAGGGATCTCTAAAATACTAATCTAGCTTTCCTTGACCTGGGCACTTTCCAGATGTATGAATTTCAACTTTCAATTTTCAATGACTAGGTTGTGGAATTCTAGAAATTGAGGTCCACACATTTGGAGGCTACCTAGCTTTTGAAGGCCACATTAATTATATGGTATCAGTTTGATCAAAATGAGATGTTGGGAACCCTAGGTATGTAGTCCACATACAAATCCCAGAAGTTAGAAGATTATGTTCTGAACCTCTTAATTTACTTACTAAATCATGGAAGATAAATTTTAGTCTGCCACACGATGTGGATACTATCATTCTCCAAGTTATTTAGTTAAGAACATGGCAGTATATTTGCCCCAAAACTAAACTGCTGTAATAATAGCTCATAAAGTTAGAGTATGTACTTTGAAACTCAAGATTCCATTCTACTTCCCAACTCAGCTGTGTTCAGATTTAACATATGCCAAAGTGGTAAACTTTGCAAATATACTCCCATCTTAGGATATACTGACCCTAAGCCATAAAATAAAAAGGAAAGAAACTCTCTCCATTTAAATTAAGTAAGGTTGAATTGTCAATTTTATTTATGGCAACTTAAATTATGTACTTCATGTATTAGTAGATAGTTCATTCAGTTGCCTTAATTTTTCTTGTATCCTATTACTTTGGTTATTTAGGTGCCTCTTCAAGAAGTGCCCTACATCTTGTTCAAGGGTAAGTAGTAAATAAGATTTAAATAGTTTGATTCACAACTGAAATAGCAACGTAGTAGTAGAATGCAGTATTCCATCATATTACTATCATAACTCCTATAAACTAGTTCACATTTATTACAATATTTGGTAGAAAGTACCAATAGAAGAGAATATGTGTAGCTCAGGGTTGAACTATGGAATCCTTGGGGTTCTCTGAGCGTGGTTGTTTTCTTGCAAACGCTTCGTTACCTGGCTAGGTAACTTCTTCAGTGCTAGAGAGGAATGGGGTTTGCTCTCTGTTTATATACAGTGGTATATAAAGTGTAGAAAGTGTTTTTGGTAGAAAGTGTCTGGAAGTATCATAGCAAGGTTGAGCAGGAGGGTTTTAAACATCTGTACTAAACACTGAGGCTGCTCAAAACAGGCCAGCAGTGCTTTCATATCGTTTGGCATCTTTTCCTTCAAAATGTTGGGGAAGGGGAGCCAGAATGGTTGGAGCTAAGTGTGGATAATTTTCATCATTTTTTGATTAAATGATTTGCCTTTGTTTTGACTCCAGTGTTGGGGCAAATTATAGTTAGGTAATCTATATGAACCTTGTCAGGTTCATATAGATTCTTTTCAGCTTATAGATTTCAAGGAGGTAGACAGGATGTATGGAGAGATGAGGGCTACCATTTGTTTGCTTGACTCTTACCTTTCTTGACTAATTAAAACAGCAGGTTGGGATTTGCCCCATGATTAAGGAAGGTGTTTAATACTCCTGAGTGTAGAATATATACTGAGACTAATTTGATCACCTTGATAGATGGTCTACTCCAGAAACTAGATGGAGACCCTGCTTCTCTGTTTGTTCTTCTAGAGCTCTCAGCAGTTTTTGATACCATTAACCATGGTGTCCTTCTTGTTGCCTGGTGTTATTGGACCTTGGTAGAATTTTCCAGTTTTTGACAATGGTTTGACACCTCAGTCATTAACATACAGTATTCTATCTTCTGTGCTGTTTAACATCTACATGAACCACTGGGGAAGATCAGTTGGAGTTTTGGAGTAGGTACCAATGACACTAAATTTACTGCTTCCTACCATCTAACTTGAAGGAAGCAATCAGCACCCTTGATCATTGCCTAATCTCACTAATTGGGTTGCATGAGAAAAAATAAGCTGAAATTAAACCCAGACAAGATGGAGCTGAAGTTGATAAGAAGAAGACTGGACTGGGATACTGAGGTGAAGAATATTGTGGATGAGGTCCACTTCCCTACGAAGAGCAGGTCTGTAGTTTGGGAATACTCTTCATCCACAACTGTCACTGGATTTGCAGGTGACAACTCTGACTCAGAGTGTGTTTGCACAATTACAACTAGTGCAACAACTGCAAGCTTTTCTGAGCTGATCGGACTTATCTAAGTACTGGGCAACCTTGGAAAGTATTTGAAAATTGCAATTACCATAACATGCAGCAGCCAGACTATGACTGGTGCAAGGTACAGTACATACAATACTGATACTGAAAGAATCACACAGGCAACTAATTGTCTACTGGGCACAACTTAAGGTTCTTGATCTTTAATGCCCTAAATAGTTTAGGACTAGATTACCTGTGAAATCATCCATTTTGAATGTGCCCAGTTACTCGGGTCAGCAGGAGAAGAACTTCTGAAAATGTAAACCCTACTTTCAGAACTCATCTATCTGTAATGTTAGACAGGACCTCTTCTGTGTGGCTCTCAAGCCATGAAGCACTCCCCAAGATGATGTGTGTCCCCTCCATTCTTCTAGTATTTAGGAAGGTGGAGGAAATACATCTTTATTGCCAAGAAATACATTTTTGTCAATTATTCCAATGATTGATTTTTTATCGGGTTTTAATTGCATGAATTTTGTTTTATACTATATTTTTTATGGTTGCAAGCTGCCTTAAATATTGGTTCAAAGAGAAATGTGCAGTATGAATTCAATAATAAAAGAATTTTTATTTATTATTAAATTATATATTATTAAATTATATATTATTAAATTTTATATATTATTAAATTTTATATATTATTAAAAAAAATTAATTTTTAAATGAATCATGGGTGGGTTGGAAACAAAAACTCTAAGTAAGGACCTCAGGTAAATACTCTTGTGCAGCGTAGAAGGGAATGTTGCTTTCATGGGGTTAATTAAATTACTCAGTGAAAAATCAGAACATATACTGACTCAAGAAGTTCATGCCCTTTATTGTCTACAGTATACCCTAGTGGTCAGAGTATGGGAAATAAAAAACTGAAATTACAAGTGAATTTTATCAGAGGCAATTGAAAGGTATTTGCACTTAGGAAACTCAAATAAATAGTAGTGTTTTGGTTGTAGTGTTTGTGAAAAAGAACTTGGAATAGTAGTTGATAATGAACTGCTATTCCAAGTTTTTTTTTCACAAACACTACAACCAAAACACTACTATTTCCATCCCATATCTGTGAACTTTATTTGTCTGAATATGAATCAACAGCATGACATGGCTACAGAAAGGATAGGTGCAATTTTAGGATGCATAAATGGAAATGTACTTTCCAAATCACAGAAAACAAAAATAGATCCACTTTATTCGATGTTGGTCATATCCTCCCTCAAGTATTGTGTCCAAGTCTGGGTCCCATGTTTTAGGAACGGTTCATATAAACTGGAATAGGCTCAGAGAAGGGCAGTGAAAGTGATTGGGGAGGAGAAATTAAGTCTTATAAATAGAGATTGAAGAGATTGGATGATCTTGCATTGTTCAGCCTTGGGAAGAGAAAACTGGGTAGGTGGGAGGAGGATATGATAGCATTCTTCAAGCGTCTGAAAGATTACCACACACAAGGTAAAAAACTATTAACTATCATTCCAGAAGGCAGGATGCAGAATAAGGTATCTAAATTATAGAAAAGCACATTCCAGTGGAATGTTTCCTAATAGTGAGAGTGGACATTCATCAGTTATGAATGGTTTTATTTTGGGGTTGAACTTGATGAATGGAATGGGCCTCTTCCTTAATCTATTAGAAGAGCCACGCTGCTTCTTTTCTATATGCTTACATTATACAAAATGTGACCACAATTTCTCCACTAAGTGTGATCCTGACTTTATATCTTCTTTTATTCCTATAAATACCTATGGAACTGCTTTTCGTCAATAGGTTCGATATAACTGGAATATATTGGATGTCACAATATGTATATGTATAGGATGCATGCATATGATCATTCATGGTATGTGTAGATTTGATAAGTCATTTTAATTTTTTTAAATTTATTTTTCATTTCTAGCTTAGCAAGGAATCAACAGTTCGACAAACCGGCAATAGTTATTTTTGCAATGATTGGGAATGACGTCTGTAATGGGTAAGATTAAAAAGAAAATTAACACAGAATGTATCCATACTACAGATTTAAACTAAGCTAACAGTCATTCATTCTTTCCAGAGATGACAGATTTATTGTACCTTCATTAACCTATAATTTCAAGGTTTCTTAAGCAGAGACAAGAATGAACTGCTACAAATTTAATTGTGTAGTGTAGGCATACCCTTATTTTATATTGTGTAACATCCTTGTAATGTTATATTAAACATTCTGACTTTCTATGTGTATCCATGTTCGCCAGTATTTTTACATCTGAATTATTTCCTTTCATATATATGTGTGTACAAATATTTTTGCAGGATGTTTTCTGGCTGGCTTTGTCAGGTACATGCAGTAAAAAGATACGATTAATAAATGGCGGCAGTTGCATTAGTATGCAACTGCAACAACGTGTACAATGATTTATTAATGCATAAGCTTGATATGATGTCCTAAGTGCAATAAAGAATCTAAGGAATTTGGATGTTCTCAGTAATTGGTGACATTGGTTCCACTGAATTTCCATAATATCCTCTATCCCATCACACCCATCTTCCCCAAATAGTTGTATTTATTAGTTACAACTCCCATCATGATCAGCCATCAAATAAAAAGCATTTGGAAGGTGCTGGATTGGTAAAAGATTGGATTCACAATATGCATTCCCTTAAGCCTTCATTGGAACCCTCCAAAAGTTGTTTTCCATTTGTAAGTTGTAATTCAACCAAAGGATAAAATTATGAAAGCCATAAGCAGCAATCACAGTCATTATATAGGTAGTCTTCACTTAACAACCATTCATTTAACGATGGTTCGAAGTTACGATGGCCTCGGAAAAAGTACTTTACGACCTGTTCTCGCACTTACAACTGTCGCAAACTGTCGCACCACCCCCCACAGTCACATGATCACAATTTGTGACCTTTTTTACAATGGTTATTAAGTGAATCACTGCAGTCGTTAAGCAAATCACTGCGGTTGTTAAGCAAATTCTGGCAAAAAATATCAATTGGGGAAGCTGCATTCACTTAACGACTACATGATTAACTAATTGACCATGTGATTTGCCTAATGACTGTGGTGATTCACTTAGCAACCATCATAGAAAAGGTTGTAAAATCAGGTCCAGTCATGTGACCCGCTTAACAACCACCTGTT